GCTTTTGGGGGCAGGAGCCAGGTCCTCAGGCTGGTTCCTCCTTGCCCTGCTGCAGCCAGCCGAGCAGGCTGGTCCCATGCAGGGCAATGCAGCGGAGAAGGAGGATTTGTGAGCGAAGCTGAAGCGCTGCAGCCCGTGCCTGCCTTCCCTTTACGGGCACCTTGAGGATGCTCCTGGGGGTCAGAGCAAGCTCTCAGAGATGTCCGAAAAAGAGGAAGCAAAGTAGGAAGAGGGAATGCAGTTTCTTTGGGTTTTGTCTCTTCTCACCTGTGTGCCTTCAGTAGCTGTAAGCTACGGCTACACAGCAAGGCCAGCATCCTTGTAACGCTGGATGTTTTGAGCTACAGGAAAAATCCAGTTACCCCAAGTCACTCTGCTGATTTCACACTGTAAAAGAACAGCTGAGAAACTGCCCTTGCTTCGCCGTGACCCTGACTCACCAGCGCTGCCTCTGCCTTACAGCACAGGGCAGCACAGCACACGAGACCCTGCAAGCCAAGACATTTCACCTTCACCTCCGCTACCCCGCAGCGCTGCATCCCACAGCTTCCACCAGCAGCCCGGCGCACAGCAGCCTCCTCGCTGGCACGCAGGGGCAGCCGAAAGCTTCCATCACGGGGCCATTAGCGGTGCCCCCCTGGGCTGTGCAGGACTGCCAGGCTCTCTGCTGGCAGAGCTCCACGTGTGGTCCTGCCGCAGCATCTGCTCTTAGGCAAAATCCCATTAGAGCCGGCTGGAGTCGAAGCCACTCGAGGGAACAAGGTCGTCCTGCGGGTGAGGAGACCAGCCAGGCTGTGAGGCTGGGCGAGGCGCGTTGTCCTTACCCAAAAGGATGCCTTTTGCACCTGCTTCCCACACAGGCAGCCTGGGGAAATGTCCTGCCCCAAAACAGGGCCGCTTCTGACATTCTGGTTTGCTCCAAGGTCCATTAAAACCTGTTAATATTAACTAAAACCTCTGAGTAAAGGAAGATCAAGCAGAACCAGAAAAGGAAAATGGGAGATGCAGAAAGATTCCATCCCTATTTTAATGGTAATTCGGATACTGACATTAAAATGGGACCGGGAGATGGTGCAGATAGGAGTGGCTTTTAACTGCCTGTACAAATAGAAATACAAAAGCCCCTTTGGCCACAGTGCTAACAGCAGCAGCCCGTAAATATTTAATGATTCCCTGTGGCATTATTTGACCCCCCTGATCCCCACGCTACCAGAAGCAATTGACAGAAAACTGTTGGGGAATCACTTCACTGAAAAATTTAACAGGCAGGCAGGGTGTGAAAGCTAAACGGCTCTGAAAACGGTCAGGTCTCACATGGCAGGATCGCTTGCAAATGAATATTGCATAGCAAAGGCCACAAAAAGCTCTCCTCAAGGTGCCAGCCAGGCTGACCCTGGGGCACAGGAGTGAAGTGCAGAGAACCGGCGGGCTGCGTGCCGCAGGACCTGCGCTGCGAGCCCAGGGCCAAGCTGTAGGTGCTGCTGTAGGTGCTGCCACATCACCGCTGCCCCACAGCTTTGCATTGCGGTCCCCGTTGGTACCACGCTGCTGTCCCAGCCTCTGAGCTGCTCTTGCTGCTGCTGTCACATCAATAACTCACCTGCTGCCACTGCACTGCTATCCCGGTGGCCGAGGTAACGCTGCTCCTCTGCTGTTAGGGGTGTGCTCCTGCTTGGGACGGCACCGCTGCTCCCCTGCGTCCTGCAGCCACCCCACGGGACCCTCCAAGGGGTGACAGCACGCTCCTTCTTCCTACACCACACTCCTTCGCTTCTCGGCCACTCAAGCACTCCCCTGCTACGGGCCAGAACGACGCCACCGCCCTCCCCACGCTCCCTCTTTGCGCCACTTTCCCACGTTGCTGCACGATCGCACGTTATCCTTGCCAGCTCCACGGTGAGTCAGTGCCCAGCTCTCGCTGCTGGATGGAGCAGCCGCCACTGCAGCGCCGCCTGCAAACACGGCTGCCCGCTGCCCCTCGCGTGGGGCACCGCCAGCCGTGCTCCCGCAGTCACCGCCTCGCTCGGCAGCGCTGCCTTCGTGCCAAGTCCCGGCCGTGCGCCCGAGACGGCAGCCCAGCGATAACACCTCGCTCGCTGCCTCCTGTGCAGCGGGGTGGTGCTGTCACGCCGGCACAACCCCTTGCTAACAGCATGCCCAAAGTAATCACTGCTGCATGCGATAGCTCCCACCTGGACCCGCTGTGGGGACGGGTCGTTACCCCAGGACGGCTCCTGGCTCCCACTAAGGCACCGTTACGCTCCCCTGCGTTCAGTAATTTGTGTAACGCTCGGTTACAGAATGGTCCAAGGTCCTAAGGAGAGTATTACTGTGTTTTTTATATCACGGCATCACTGCACCAATATAGCACGAGGCTAATTAATAAAATATCACTGCATCCTGCATCCCGGCGGTCTCTTAGCATTCTCCCGGAGTACACACGCAGAGCGCTCCACATCGCTGTGCCGGTTATGTAAAGGCGGCACTTCTGCCTTCGCTCTTTTTTTCCTGCACAGCTACAAATCTGCCTCCCTCAGACACAATCCTCCAGTCCTGGACTGCTCCTTTCGCTCTGACTGCAGTAACGACGTCCCCTGTGAAGTCAGCCCTGCAATGTTTTTGGCGGATCTGATCTGGTGTCTGCATCTGCGGCCACGCACCGCGCCGCGAGGGGAGCGGGATGGAGCCCTGCGGGTGTGCAGGAGGCACAGGACGTACCGGTGCCGCCGGACCTTGGGGCGCTGCCGCTGCAGATACGCATCACCAGGCTCCCCTCCTTGCACGCGCTGCAAAATGACTGTCTGAACTGTTTCACAGTGGGCCGTGTGGGCTGGAAAGAAGTTCTCAGATTAAATAAATTGTCTGCTGAGCTGTTGCTGGCTCCTAATTGCGAGGTGCAGACCGGTGGCACAGCACCTGCAGCTTTACGCTGCAGTCCTGGACACTTCTGCGCCAGCAACCACGGCTCAGCCCAGGCTGCAACTTGTGCTCCCACAGGTTTAAATCCTGCTCTGTCTCAAGATATTTTTACACAACACTTAGCATCTATGTCTTCACTCGCAGAAACAAAATTTCCATCATTCCTTTCCGTTACAGAATTTCCTGGTTCTTATCCTAAGACCCGTATCCATCCCAGGATTTTGAGATCACTACAAGAAATCTCCACATCTCTCCTCCTGCATGCAGCCCTTCGCATAGCCCATATTGTAGTTCCCCTTTATACCCACGAATCCCTGTACTGCCCTGCTCCTAAAAGCTTCCCTGGATTGTCGTTTTCTCATGGTTACTTCAGAGAAAGCAAGGCAGAGCTGAGTACAGAGAAACGGGAATAAATAATATTACGCTTCTAAAGAGAGATGCTGGTGGTTGCTGTTTCTCAGCCCTGGTGCTATGCACCGAGCGCAAGAAGGAAAAGCAGAGCTGTGTCTGTCCCTTTTCTGTAAGCAGCACGGTTCTGCACTGGAATTCAATTTTGCTAAGTTTGCGGCATTTGGGAGCGGGTCACAGCACTGGAACGCAGCACAGCGGGTGCAATGAAGGTGCCGCTCGGGTAAGGACCGAGCTCAAAACCAGAGAGATCTCTGCGAGCAGGAGCCCTGACACAGGTTTGTTTGTACTTCGGCACTGGGAACGCAGCCCCACAGACTTAAAATCCGTTCTCAGACGCGTCTTCATCTTCCTCAGAACCACGGAGACAGCACCAGCCAGAGCTGAGCCCACGGATCTCAGTCTGCAGATTTTCAAAGAATACCGATTGTGTGACCCAGCTGAGCACCCAGCCACTCACTAGGCCCTTCCTTAATGCTGCTACTAAATGCTAATCTAGGCTCCTGGTCCCTCATGGTCACAGGGAGGGTAATATCTGTCCTGAGTTCAACACAACGGTGACACTCATAAATAATGGACTGGTAGCAAGGATGCAAAATTGCTGAGGAAAGCAGAGGAGGTCTTATTTTTCTCATGAGAAGTGAGGATGAACAGAAGTAGACAACACTTCCTGAGAGCAGAGCGAGCAGGTGCAGGTGTATCACATCCTTCCCCTCAAATCACAGAAATTCTTCTTGTTACCTCCATAATCTCAATTTCAGTGGGCATCCTGCAGAGCCTCCCAATCCCGCTTTAAAACGAGACATACACACAACAAAAAATCATGCAACAACAAACAACAAAACCCCCAAGTCATAATTCTGGGTTAATCGATCACTCCCAGGCTGGAACTCAGCCACCCAGGCTGCTGGCTTATACCTATAATTGTGCTTCTGGGAGATTGCAGTTACATTAATCTTCCTGGAGATTACATCTCCCAGTAACATCCCTAAATGGCTCTAAAAGAAAATTTCAAGCCGGTCTTCCCTCTGCCTTTTCATTTTTAAAGGGTAGCCCTGTTGGGTAATTTCACTACCAGAGGCAGCTAAAAATGACAGTTTTGTACCCAAAGCGCTCGCAAACACCGAAAGCATCTGTTCCACCCTAACACAGTGACTGGGAAGGCTTCGGAATTGGGTCAGGATTTTTTTGTCGTCCTCCCCGCTACCTTCCCCTGACAGCTTCTGCCATCAGAAATGATTCATATGCTGATCGCACAGAAATGTACCATAAGGAGATGTAAACAAATACAGCGAAGCAAGGCGGGGAGCCAGAGAGATGGCACCTAATAAGTAAATATATAGAGAGAGATATTTAAAATAAATAAATAAATCGCTTCCCTGACACTCACCCTCACCAGGCAGAGCCACAACTTCCCCCGGCTCCAGGGTTTTTCCCCCGCCGGCGAGCCCTGGAGCGCCCTCCGCAGCGGCCCCGGGGGTCGCGGCCGTGCCCGGGGGGGGGGCACCGAGCCCCCGGCCCCCGCTCGGAGCCGGCTCCGCAGCGCCTCGGCGGTGCCGCAGCGCTCGGGGAAGTTTGGCCCCGTTGGGCAGGAGGAAGCAGTGCATTTGCAGCCCCGGAGCAGCAGAAGGGGATGCAGGGGGCGGCGGAGGGGGGGGCGCCTGGCTCCTTACCTGGCCGAAGACCGAGCTGAGCATGGGGTGCAGCTGGTGGAAGAGGGGGTCGGCTTCCAGGGGCCTGCTCGCCGCCGCTGGACTTGGCGGAGCACTTGCTGCCGGCTCTGGACGGAGGCGAAGCGTTTTCGGAGAGCTTTAGGGACTCTCTGCTGGCCCTCTGCCTGTGCCCGAAGAAAAAGTCCTCCTCCTCCTCCACCTCCTCCTCCTCCTCCTGCCCATCCCTGGCCGCGAGCTGCTGCTGCTGCTGCTCCGGGGGGTGCCCGTGGCTGCCGTGCGGCGGGAGGTGGCGGTGCCGGTGCCTGGCTCCCCTGCCTCCTCCTTCCGCGGGCTCCTGCTGCCCGTCCCCCCCGGCGGCCGGCAGCCTCCCCGCTCCCCTGGCCCCGTCCTCGCGGGCAGGGGGCTGGCACAGCGGCCTGCGGGCGCTGGGCTCCCCGGGGAGCGCCTCGGGGCTCGGCTCCCTCCCCGCCTGCCCTCTGCCAGCCCGGGCGCGGCCCCCGCGGGGTTGGGGTTGGGATTGGGGTTGGGGGGATCCCCCCGGAGCCCTCCTGCTCCCCGCCGCCCTGAGCAGCGAAGTGCGGGACTCGCTTTTCGCCATGGAGGAGCCGCTCATCGCGGGGCCGCTACCGCCGCATCCCCGGCCGGGCGGAGCGCTGCCGCTGCGGGCACGGAGGGCTGCGGCGCGCCGCTCCCGGCATGTCCTGCGGAGCCCCCGCTTAAATCCCGCACCCGGCCCATGTGACAGCGCCACAAAGGCCGCGGAAGGGGCTGGCGGGCACCGCTGTCCCCCCCCCCCGGTCCCTGTCCCCGTCCCCGTCCCTCCCCAGGTGAGCCGGGCGGCGCTCCCGCAGCGCTGCGGGGAGGGGACGCGGGGTAGGGGAGGGGGCTCAGCTGCCGTCCCCCCCCCCTCCCCCCGAGCATCGCCCCCGGTGGGTGGCACCCGAGGGTGGGACCCCCCCAAAAAAAGAAAAAGGGTTGCCCGTGGAAGGGGTGGCCCCGCAGAACGAGCTCTCCCCTCCCCGGGTCGCAGCCCCCCGGGGAGCGCTGCCCCGCGCCCAGCCCCGGTGACCCCGGGGGGGCTGGGACCCCCCCAAGGCTCTGCTTTGGGGCTGGGACACCCCCCCCCCCGGGGCTCTGTTTTGGGACCTGCTGTAGGTCTGAACCCTGGGGCCTCATCAGTACCACCCCGGGGATGCAGAGCCCCCCCGGCACACAGCCCGGGCTGCCCCAAGTTCAGGAGCTCAGGCGCTCAGCCCCTGCCCATCCCAAGGACAGAGCTCGGGAAGTTCTCATCCAGCCTCGGAAACAGGCACGGAGGTTTCCTTAGGGCACGGCAGAAAAGGATAGGAAACCGAAGGAGTTTGTACAAAAAAAAAGCAGCTTATTTAACGTCTTTGTGTTCCGACGCAGGTAATTAAGCGGCAACAGGCGGTTCAATAATGACGCTCTGTTTAAAAACAGAACAGGATGGCAGTGGCAGCTCCGACGTGTTCCCACCGAGGAGAGGACCCGGCTCCTTCTCGCTCAGCTGCAGGCAGCGACTGTGCCTCGCCGCCAGCCCTGGGCACCTCGGCAGTGCATGCACCCAGCAGGACAGAGGTGTGATTTCCGCACCAAGAGCTCGCTCACGCTCGCTGGCACGTGCCCAGCAGTTACTACGCGATGGCACAGGCTCCGGTGCAACGACCAAAGGGCATCTCCCCTGCTACCCGGGGTGTAAATCTCCGCACCGGGGCACAAAATCCATCCTCAGGATGGCAGAGAGGAAAGGCTGGGGGTCCCTCTGCCCCATCCCCACTCTGGATGCTTGGCAGCAGCTCTTGTGGTGCCCAAAAGGGTTGAGTTGCAATGTCCCATTCATACATGCAGCACCAATTCAGCTCCTAATCACAAACAAGGTGCATTTACCGATTTATTTTTCAGAACAGGCTGCTCCTTTTTGGCATCACCAGCCCAGAACCACGGCTTGGGGGCAGCCCGGCTGGATGAGCACCAGCCCCAGCTTTCACTGCTGCGGTGCTGGAGCAAGGGCTGCCAAAGGGGTCTTTTGGCCGGGAAGCTCAGAGGGAGCAGGAGGCTGAAACAAAACTTTCTGACCCCCTCCCTGTGCTGGGGAGGCTCAACCTGTCGGGATGCAACATTGCTCCCAGAGAAGCTGCCATTTCTGGAGCCGCAGCCGGTGCTGTAAGGCACAGCTGTAAGGATGCTCGTGCAGTAAGATTCCTGCCTAGCCCTGACTAACACTGCCCTCAGCCTCACTGGGGACTTTCGAGCTGTTCCTGAGGACTGTAGGGATATTGCTGTCCACAGGTGGGTTGTAGTTCCTTGCCTCAATCAACTGAGCCCTGCAGAATTTGGAGCAGATGCCTCATTAGTGAGCAGGGACTCACTAGCGCAGGTGTGATTCATCACTTTGGAGAGCACTTCAGGGATCAGGGCAAGAAACAGCTCGCCTAACAGAGGCAATAACAATGCAGGCAAGGGCTGTGTTACAGAACAGAGCAACGAAGAGACAGCAGCTGAAGCAACTGGGAAATAGGATGGCGAGAGCACAGACTGGAAGCCTACTCGTTCAGGACACCCACGTTTGGGTTTCGGCCGGGGAAACCCCGGCTATTCAGAGAATCCCTGAGTGTACCCTCCTCCCGAATCCATTTCTGAGGTTTTTCATGAATCTCCTTTTCTGACAAGTTAATCTTGGGATCGCAGTGCCTGTGTACCAACCACTGCAAGCTAAAAAGCCAGCGATCCTGGAGCCAGATGCCAGGGAACAGCAGCGCCCGGCTGTGGAGAGCAGCACGTAATTCCAGCCTGGCTGAGCAGGAGATGCACAGGGACATCTCTCCAGAGGGAACGTGGCTTCTCTTCCAGCTGGCAGCACAGAACAGGACAGGCCCGAATCCTCAAGACACCAAGATTATACTATGTAGTGTGCGTGCTCGCTGCTTCCAGAGATGGACCTAAGTCAAAACCATCCGGGCGGTTGGGGCAGAGGGAGCCACGCTTCATGCCCCAACCACGGCCGCTGGCAGTGAGCGAGTCCCCGGGGGCTCTGGTTCCAGCCTGGGATTACAAATACAGCACAGCCTGCAAGTGTGACGTCCTGTCTTTCCTTAAAAATTATAAAAAAAAAAAATGCATGGGAGCAAATGCATGAGCATTTTTGGGAGGAAGGATTTGTCCAGTTCTTTTTCAGCCCCAATTATATAGTGATTTTTTTTGGAGAAAAAAAAAAAAAAAAAAAAGAACACAAGGGCTTCATTGCCTGCCCTGGACTCAGAAGGGTCTATTTCATTTCCAGTTAAAGCCAGCAACCCAGAAAAGGAGTTTGAGAGTAAAGTGAGTGAGAACTGCTCCAAGAAAAAAAACTCCAGCAAACTGCTGATGGCAAGGCACAAAGGGCCTGATGTTCTGGAGCAGTTCTCCTGGTAGCAGTTTTCCAGTCTCTATTATTTCTCTCACCTGCACTTGCAAGAACATCATCGTCGAGGGTAAAGATGATATCATCCAGTCTGCCAAAGCGCAGTAATATACAAGCTGGACTGCGCTGAGAATCAGGATGCTAACCAGGAAGCTGTCCCCTAAGAGATGCTGAGCTGCCCAGCCCTCGTTTATGGCCTGCTTTTCCCTTCACTACCTTTCCATCGCTTTTAAAGGGCTTCAGACCCGTGGCGTGTTTCAATAAAAGATGCCAAGTGTTGGTCTTCTGGCATATTGTGTTTGGACAGGCATGTGTCTGCCTCCAGAGGAAGCAAAAGCACCGACAGCTGGAGATTCTGTTTGCTTGAAGACTTGGGATTGCTCTTTAGGTTTTACTCCACGGGAGAGGAATAATCCCGACAGCATTACAAAGGCATTATTGTTCTGGCTGTAATCCCTGTGTTCAAATCCACCCCGGTTACTTGCTTCCTGATTGCAGACGGGGAACTTCTCTGCGTAACTGTCGGGATGAGGCTGGCGGATGCAGCGGAGGTCACTTTGCTACAGTCAGGTAGCTTCGACGGGGGAAAGGCTGCAGTGCGATCCCGTGATAAGCCCATGGGCATGGGAAAGGAGGATGGGACAAAAAAGTCCAGAAGAAGAAAAGAAGAGCTATTGGAAGGGAGTTGGGGGAAAGCAAGATGATGGAGATGCGGGGGGGAAGAAAACGTGCAGGGACAAAGGTGAAGCTCAGTACACATTGTAATACAAAACCAAAGGGCTCAGCAGAGGCAGGACCAGGCTGTGCCTTCCTGAGCTCTACACCAAGGTGACGCCCCAACCCTTTCCTTGCTTCCTACATGAAATAATGGGAAAGGAGATGCAACAGAAACTGCTGCCCAACGGGACAAACACATCTGAGTCCCTGAGCTAGTGTGCGTGGCCAGGCTCCAATGAGACCCAGCCTTTGCTATTCCAGGCTTGTGAAAAAAAAAAAAACAAACTTTTTCCTGGAATTACGTCTCGCCTTACTTGCTCCCCTCATGCCATTTCTGGGTCTCATGGTCTTCCAGCTCACGCAGCTAGGGACGCAGTTAATTAAGCTGGTGAAGCTGACTCAGTTTCACAGTTTTATGTGCCCACAGCTGGCAAATGTCACCTCTTTCATGTCAGACATTTCTGTGCCAGACTCAGACCAACCCTTCACAGCCACATGGATGTGGAAGGCACTGCTCTGCGAGTGGAGGAAGACCACAGGGCAGGCAGGAAGCCCACTAAGGTGGAGATTTGGGTACAAGATGAACATACTTGGAAAACCACTGAAGCAAGACCTGTGTGGTTTTAACAGTGACGGTGGTGCTTCTTGCTGACAGTGACAAGGCATAAAATGACCATGTGCTGAAAAGTAAACAGCAAAGGAATGCTCAGTCCGTCGGCCTGTCTTTGGCTGAAATTGAGACCAGCAATTAACATCAGAAGGAAAAAATTAAATCACTTCATGATTTTCCACTTTCACATGACCTGAGCTCTCCCTGGGAAGAACAAACCTTTTCACGAGCTGATGCAGCTGTTTTACAGCCACAGTAAGCTAGGTACATGAGGCAGAGACCTCTTCTTGAAGCAGGATCTGGACCACAGGACTGTGGCTGATTCTCAGAGGGACACATGGACTCTTCAGCTGCATTACATGGATCCCTGGTTATCAGGGAAAGAGCCTGTATTTTTTTCTGACTAGGATCATTTAATCTTTGCCATTAAAAAAAAAAAAAAAAAAAAAAAAAAAAAAAAAAAAAAAGATTCTTTATCAACAGCCTAGAGAATTAATTTGAGGGAACAGGAGGGAAAGAGAGTAGCACTGAAAGCCAGGTACTCGGGGTCTGTGTTGCAAGGAGAAATTAGTGTGGGGACAAGGCTGAATAAATTGCTAAACGTTGATAAATGTGTATTGCAATAAATTGCTATTGCTCCTCGCCTGGAAGCCTGATCTTTGACCAGGCTCCTCCTGGCAGGGAAAACCTCTTGCTGCTCCTGTGGGAGAGGGCTACTTTCAAATGCAAAGGTTATTAAAGTATATCAAGACTATGATAGATCAGGCCTCATATTTTATTCTGCCAGTTCTGTGGTACCCGAGGAACCGGAATAAAAGTAGCTGCTGCTTTTCATCTTTTGACCGACTAAAATACGAGCTACCAGCAGGAGACAGCTCACGTTATGCAACAGAAACTCAGTTATACAACAAAGAGGCACGAGCAGGAAAGAAATACAGGAGTCCCGAGCCACCAGTACTGCTGGGGGGAAGCGGGTCAGGAGGGATGGATGCCCTGTGTCAGTAGCAGAGCTGCCCAAAGCCATGAGAGCGTGCCTGCTGACCGCGCTGCCGAGCGTGAGGGCACAA